ACTGTACATAATTCTTCCACTGATTCCGGTTGCGGGCTATGTCTTCCAGACTGCTAAGCCATTGGCACTCCTCATCTTTGGGTCCCCATTCTGGAAGACGTACGGATGCAACAGCGGCTAGACACAACGTCGGCGATTTCCGTGCTGCCGCAAAGTGGAAGGCTGACCACCACGCGGTCGCCTCCAGCCAGGTCCTTGACGAGCGAATTGAGCGCGACGCGGTAGACGCTCAGGTGCCATGCGTAGGACGTCACCGAGCCATCTTAACTGGCGCAACAATACCAGCTTGTTGAAGGAAATACTCGCAGTCCTAAGATGTGACGTCGAACGTCATTACTATTAACTCGATGTTGCCACCAAACACGAGCGATCCTCCTTAAGCAAGCGTTATCGAAGGCAGAAAGACGACGCATGTCTTCCACGCGAATCGGCTAGGACTCGCCCTCATACAACAATACTGAGTGAACTGATGCGCTGTAAACTCGGCCCTTTAGTGAGAATGAGACGTCGCGACGAGGCCACAAGTGCCTCAGATTGACAAATGCTGATCGAGCTTTAGCGATACGAAGATAAACTTCCTTGTTGATAGTGCCTCCAGCAGAAACTCAGCTCCCAAGGTAGAGGAAACTATCTACTTGTCCAAGTTGTGCACCTTCGAGAGTGAGCACGAGAGCAGGTGAAAGCCAATCCTTGAACAGTACTTTACACTTTGATGGGCGAAGCTCATGCCATAATTAGATGCTACAACCGCCAAACGATCCAGAATGAGTTGCATACTCTGAGCATCCTCACCAAGTAAGGCGATATCATCAGCACAATCTAAGTCGGTCGCGCGCTCACCTTGTAGAAGCTCTAGGCCAAAATGTTGGAAACTTTCTAGAGCATTCGACAGAACGTCTTCGATTACGAAGTTGAAGATGAATGGGGACATAGAGGAGCCCTGTCGCACACCAATATTGACAGCGAATTGCGGGGAAAGCTTGCCATAAACCCTCACTCTGCCGGATGTATGAAGGTAAAGTGCTCGTAAGATGGCGGTATATTTCTCTGGCACCCCGTTCTTTAGCAAGCAACGCCATAAAGCAGGTCGATTAACGGTGTCAAAAGCGACACGTATGTCTAAGAATGCAACGATTATGGGCCTGTGATAAATGTGGCGATGTTCGATGAGCTGGTGGAGCGTGAAGATTTGATCCACGCATCCGCGGCCAGGACGGAAACCAGCTTGTTCTCCGCGGTAGTATGATTCACATACCGGGGATAGCCTGCGGAGCAGAATGGATGCCAATAGCTTAGAGGCAACTGAAATAAGACTAATCCCGCGATGATTTGCACATGAAGTGCGAGCGCCTTTCTTGAAAATCGGGACGATAACTGATTCGCTCCAAGAGGAAGACACTTTCACTTCATGTCAAGTTTTCGCGAACAGCGCCGTCAGCTGGTTAATGATCGGCACACCGCCGTACTTGAATAGCTCCGCAGGAAATCCGTCTAAGCCGGCAGACATGAAGCGCTTCAAGCGTCGAATCTCGAGTCAGACTTCCGCTTCGCTGGGTGGATTCAGTGGAACGAGCCAGGGTGAACAACAAGGTGTACTGCATGTACTGATGGATGGTGGAGGCCAGTAGAACTGCGAGTGAAAGTGCTCGGCCCAGCGGTCCATACGCCTCTGTTGGTTAGTGATCGGAGACTCATCTACCTCACAAATGGCCTCACTGACACCAGGCTTCCTGGGGCCAGTAGACCGAATGAGTTGGAAAGCCTGCGAGTGTTGCCAGAGAGGACAGCGGTCTCCATCTCTAAAGCAAGCTCAGACCACCATGTCTCACGATCCATACATAGGTTTTACTTGAGCAGCCGGTTGGCCAAACGGCGCCGCTCGTTGCAATCTGGTTCCGCGGGGATATCTTTGCGGCGTTCGAACAGCTCCAGAGAACGAGCAGAGATCCAAGCCTTCATGAAGCGTCGAGTTAGACCTCAACATGACTGTCCGGAAATGGTCATCGCTTTCCGTATACAAGACCAGTGTTGTTCCACTTCTTGCGGTGGATTGCAACTGAGTGCATATGCCGGTGAAGACTGATACCTCGCCTGGACAGAGGAATCAGTTAATCTGTTTACATCAATCTTGCGGTGCTTCGTGTTTCGGGATCCTCCAAAACACATACAGACTTTCGCGCAGACCAGAGCATGATCTGAGTCAACGAAGGTGGACCAAAAGGACTTACAGTCTAGTACGCTGCTATGTCATCTGAAGCTAATTTCAATGTGATCAATTTGAGACCATGGTTGTGTTGAAGAAGGGGGACACCACGTTGCGGAACGCTTCTTCGTACCCCTGAAGTTAGTGCTCGAAAGAAACAGACGGTTGTCTTCGCACAATGGGAGAGGCCTCTCTCCGTTATCAGAGCGGTTCTCATTGAGCGCGTGATGACCACCAAGGTGGCGTTCGTATGGTAACAGGCGGCCAACCCGTGCATTAAAATCCCCAGCAATGATAACGACATCCGGCTTTTTAGCATTAGTCAAGATCTGTTGTAGATCCCGATAGAATTCGTCCTTGACCCAGTCGCCACTGCAGTCAGTTGGAGCGTACACCGAGATCACAAACATGTTGTGTCTCTCTTCGCGGTGCCTGTTGATTCTACATGAACCCCGAAGCCGAACTGCCCATAGTCGGCTGTTAATCGGGAACCAGTGAAGTGGTGCAGCATCGGCGTTGCTACTCAGTGCTATACCTACACCAGCCAAACCCACTGAGGCTGTTTCTGGATCTCCAGAAAGACACAGGTGTCATCTGGCTTCATGGTCAGTGGGGGATGTCAATGTAAGCACAGTGCTGGGATCTTGCAACCGGTTTTCTGAAAGGCAGCAGACGTCAATGTCTAGGGAATATGGGGAGCGCGCTAGACCGGTTTGTTGTCCAATCTGCATGAGTGTCCGAGCGTTGAAGCACGTCAGACGGAACGAGGATCGGGGACGAAAGAGAGCCATAGTTTGAACTCTTTGGTCTGTGGCGCAACTGGAATCGCAGCCAGATTGTTGAACACATGAATCGGGTAAGGGTAAGTGAGGATTGTTAGCAAACAAACAATTGGCGTGTGATGAAGTCGAGTGAAAGTGACTAGCAGAAATAGTAGCTGATGAGCACGTTGTAGTACAGTCCATGGTTTTGTGAGAGGGCGTGATACTACCCGGTTGCCCAAGCCGAAGTAGGGAGTTTACATAGAGGACTCCACTCCGAGCCTTTGGCTAAATAACCTACGCGCAAGGCAGCGGGGCGGAGAGGACTGAAAGATGATGTCGACGAGCTTAGGTGTAGGCAGCGGCTAACATCAAATTCAGTTCACGGTACGAACGGCTACGGATAACTGTTAGTCACTTGCGAGACTGGTCAGTGGTGCGGATTCCCTCGGCCCCCTACAAGGAACCGAATCTATGACCGCTGGTGGCTTACACCACTAGCCAGCAGCTTGTGCCATTGAGTCACGGGGGAAGATAGCTGACCATCATGGAATGAAATCTAACTACTATATGGTCCGAACCATCATCCACTGCTCTGTAGTTTCCTATCCGTGCACCGGATAGTGCTTGGCCTTAGGTGTCAAAACCTTCGTTATCTGAGACTGAGAGACTGAGACTGTATTTAAGAGCAATTAGAAAGGTTTCTTTATAACTCTATCGAACTACGAAAAATCAAAAACATTTAGTTGTGAATCATCAGCAGTTGTGTCTGGTCCGTTAATCGTTTATCCTTGTTCGGTTAGGAATTTGTATCGGTATCATTATTCCTGGGCATATGATGTCTCCTTTTGGTATTGTTTGTGCATCGTTTCACAAAAGCAGAGATTTCCGAAATAATTCTCGATACGGGTTTTAAAACACTTCACAGAATCGTCCTCTATTAATCCTTCTGGTAGTGTATTCCATAAGTTTACGATTCTTCGTTCGATACAAAGCTGATGTGATACTTTGTTCATGCTGGGGACCCTGAGTATGTAACGGTGTCCTCGGGTTTTACAGGTTTCCCGCAGGTGAAATATTGGCCGCAATATGAGGAAATGTTTCAAGTGTAGTACTCGATGGATCGTAATAAGATCAATTCTTACTCGGCGGTAGGATAGTGTGTAGAGTCCGAGCCTTTCACAACGTTTTTTATACGGAAGTTTCCCTAGACCCGGTATCATTCTAGTTGCGATATGCTGTATTTTCTCCAGCTTTTCAGTTTCCCACTGGGTTATCGGACGGTAAGCTGGGGCACCCTATCCACTGGTTTTGAAACACTTCCTTTCCAATTGCTGTTGTCGAAAGTATTTTTAACAAATACGAGTGGACATGTGAATGCTTCAACTATGTGCATTGGATTCCCCTTGGATATTCGGAATCTGGAGGCGTATCCCGGACAGTTTCCCATATCTGTTACTAGGGAGACAGACCTTGTGATGAGCTGTCGTATCCTTCCATATCTACTAGAGAGAAACAAGATTACGCTCTCGTACGTTCTGTTTGCAGTTTGCAGTCACCGGTATTTACCAGACAACGTTAGTAGCTTCTCTGAGTCTAAATGTCAGATTCCAATGTATTGAACAAGCTGTGGACAGTAACTTGAAAAGACACTGAGCTATAACATGTCTGATACTGGTTATATGTCATTACCGCCAATGCTTTGTTATCTAGCTGCGTGCTATTCTTCGGATGAATGAGGCTCATTCGCTGCACAATCTCCTCGATAATAATGAATGGCACGAATAGAGCTTAGGCATAGGTTGTAAAGTTGTGAGTGCGACCATGGGTCACTGTATCGTTAACGAGGAGATGAGACATTTCATTCGGAATAATCACTGAATAATCCCACTGCTCTCTGCAGGGACCTCAGACACAGTTGCGATGCTACAGAGGGAATATGCCATCCAATGAGCGTAGTTATACTCAGAAGAGTCAAAACCTTCGCTCCCCAATTCGTCTTTAGAATTAACAATCACCTCGATTATGTGTTACAGATCAAAAATCAGGAACTCGCTGAAAAAGCAAAAGCTAAACTGGAGCAGCAGAAAATCATGGCGGCGAGGAAATGGGAAGAATGGAAGGAGATGAAGCAAAGGCTTACTTTGGAACAGAAGAAGTCCGAAGAGGAACAACAGAGAGAACGACTTTTCAAGGAGCGCTTAAGTTCCGAAGAGAAGGTAAAAGTTGTGGCCTTCACACATTTTATCGCCTTGTTGCTTACTCGGTTGGTCGACTAGTTGATGTTGCAGGTCTCATTTGTACAACCTAAGACACCTCATCCCCAGCAGCTGGAATCAATGGATGTTTTTCGATGCTAAACAACTGCTGCTGAATAAAAATCTTATTTAAAGGCCTCCCTACTGAAAATGGGAGCGCGAAGTCCTGCCTTCTTGCACGCCTTGCAAATGTATGATAGTATTCAGATCAGTCTTCTGAGGAGCTAAGAGCATACTCGTTAACAGGTACTCGACAGGATGTTGTTCCACTTAATTGGCTTATATAGCCATCGTGAATCTCTAAGCGATGCGGAAACGCCGATTGGTTGCCGACTCACAGATGGCACTCACATTAATATAAAGGCGTGGATTTGTAGCGCATGCTAATAGATGTAATTAAGGGGCTAACGGTATTTATCACTCCGGTTTGTAGTTATAGGCTTCGCTATGTCGTGCTCTGCGTTAAACGACTTTTGCAATCCTTTTCTAATGTGAAAATACCATGGCAGCTCGTCTGTTGTTTCAGCAGAAACCAATTCCATCTTACTACGCAAAGGTCCCATTATTTTCAAGTCAACTGCTGGAACCATGTAATCTGCTGTCCGTATGGCACTGAATTGATGTGCTCATTCCAGGATACCTCAAGTCCCTGGATCTTTCACTGTCCCATATTTCGGAACTGTGTGTCTACTATTCGAAGGACACGGGTTGTATGACATGCATGTACGCAGAGGGTCCTACCTGTAGCTTCTATACAACCCAGACACATCGATTAGTTTAGTGTGCGGTTCAGCCCCCTCTATAGAATTTTCTATTCCGGACTACTGTCTTTGTATTCTACCGGGATATTTTCCTGCCGTGACGAATTGTCGTAAGCCCCGAAGTTGGCCATTGGCACAAATGGTCAAAAATAACATTGAATATGACTGCTGACTATCTGTGTGAGTTTATCTCAGCCCACAATATGCAACTGCAACTTCCCACAGAAATTCCGGAACACATGCTTCTTTTATGCAAACAAACCATCTCGGTCTCGGATCTTAGCAGCGTGTGGTAACGATGATGTGAGTAGTCAAGTACTAGGCGGAGATTATGAGGTCAGTTCTTTCATACAACAAATAATGTTGGGAAGCGCAACACCCAAATGTTGAGTAAGTTGCTTTGGCTTTGACAAATGCTATGTTTGCCCGGTCATAACTTGCCGAGATGAGCCCCGTTTTGCTTGCCGGACGCAGCGGGGCGCAAGGTTCGAGGTGGACAAAAGTGAAGTTATCAGTGTGAAATAAAGTCATTGACTGCAAGACGGAGCGCTGTTGGTCCCTGACGCCTTCGAGGCTGGAGTCCACATGACTCACCTTACGCTTGGCATGAGACTCTACAGAACATGGCTCGAAGTCGGCACCAGTAACGCACATGCTGTCGTCTCGTAGTCGGTGCTGAGTTATTTGCGGGGTACCGACTGTTCACGAAGCTGCGAGCTATGTTTGCACGATGCCCAGTTACAGGTGACCGTATGTTGTTGACAAGGTGTAGCTACTGAATGTTTGCTTGGGGAGTTTAGGCGTTTCGATTAGTCATCGTTCCCATCAGATGCCTTCATGCAAACGCTGGCGAGGACACTCCTGACTCAGTACCTAGCCCACCAAACCGGTAAGAAAGGTATTAGTTATTACCCTTAAATTTGCAGCCAAAAGAAAAATTCACGGTGCCTTAACTGCTGTGTGCACATATGTTCCAGAATCGCAGTCTATGGTTGTAAAGTGGAAGCTGATGGACGACCGTAACCAGCGAAATTCCAATTGTGGTTCTATTGGTATTTCGGTTGAACCTACGACATCACTCGAATTCATTGCAGTACGGGGACACTAAGTTCCGTTGACAACAAAGAGGCTGTTCTAATGTCATCCCTTCAGTTCCGCAAGTTATCACATGGGGTGCGCATTCTTCCGGACATCCCTTGGAAAGAACGTCCGAAAGAGAATAGCAAAGTAAATACTAGCCCTGAGAAAGTTAATAAAGATGTCAGGGTTCTTGGACCTCAAATATCTTCCTCTGAGGAAGCGGGGACACACAACTGGTAGTAAGTGTTACCTCCGCCCAGAACTCTCTCGTTAATATCACTGCTTAGAGATCGACAGGAATTTCATTTTCGCTCAATTACAAGGGGGAATATTCTCATGCTGGTGAAAGTGATACCTCAGTCTTTGCTAACGACACCGCTTTTCTCGGAAAACTGGTCCGGAATCTTCAAGAAGATGCCTACGGAAATTCGCTTGAAGGTCGCGGGTAGATGACGACTCACTGAGACGGACAATTAAGTTACTTTCCCCCTCATACAGCTCCGTGAAGTGATTGACCTCATGGCAACCTCAGCATCCGAGGAAATGCAACTAACTACGGGAGACCACCAGGGCCCGGACAACCGCGAGCAGTCGTGTAACCCAACTGAACTTCAAGGGCCGACGACGCAATGGTCGATACGATCTCCGCTCTTACCTCATCAGCCACTAATGCACTTTTGTTATCGACATTCAAATCACTCTACCCAGTAGGTCACTTCTACGGAACGGCAGAACGCGTAGGGGAGAGGGTACTCATTTATTACAAAAGAAGCTTTCTCTGTGAACTCACAGACAATTCCTATTGGTGTCACTGATGAACATTGGTGCAACTTATAGTTGAAGACGTCGACATATACCTTATGACATCTTCTCGATCACGTAATTCGACTCCGGAAATGGACCAGACTGATATGTGCATTTGTTATTGTGATGAATCGGAATACAGCCATCTCGTCATAACGAGATCTAAACATCTATGGTATGGAAATTCCTGTAAAGGACAATGAACCGTTCAAAGCCCATCTGCCAGAGTTAGTCTCTATTATACCCCTTCACTATCAAGCCATCGCTCCCACCAGGTTGAGAACAGCGAATAAGCCGTTTATCTTATACCTAGTGTTCACCAGCGGGGAGCTCATGGATGATGGGGTGCATGTGTGCATTCCTTTGGATTAGGGTGCTCACGTGACACCACCGTTCGACTATATTTATTACGCCGAACATTCGAACCCAGCACCCAAAAGGATACAACTTATTCCGCACTACCCCCCATTATTCGCATTAGTTGGGTATTCATGCCTGACTGCACCCCAGAAGTGGCCTGGAAACATACTCAAAAACCTTTATGTCACTAGTCACAAAGGTATCAGAGTCAAAAGCTTTCCATCGTTCTCTTAAACCAAAATCCCTTTTGAGAAGCCGAACATGATAATATATGGCATGGAGGGATAGTTTCAGAAAAACGAGCTTATAATATTGGACAGTGTATGTAATTTGGTGCATTTGATGTGTGTAGTTGGTTTGTGAGGACAGGTTAGCACACCATCAGGATCTGGCGAAATGATTATGTTCGAAGCACAAGCTTCTTTACAAGCACAACAATATACTTAGTAAGTTGCAGCGCACAATCCCACGGATGGTGGGTATACACACACAATGATGGAGTACCAGCCTCGAACTCTATTCCTAGCTGGCTTGCCGAACAATCTTCTCGTTGTGCCAGTTGGGCGGTTTTGGATCATTCCGTTCCAGCGAATGGTTCGGCGGTGGTGTTCCAGGACGTGGTGGGTTTTCGCCTAGCAAGCTTTCTCCCTGTTTAAAAGCACGTATGTCCGTTTAACAACACGTGGCGGATGTGACTCGCTATGAAAGAAACTTATTGCCCCTTGCCTCCAACTTAGCGACCTTGTAATTCAAGGGTGCGTTTGGCCGCTGGTCCCTTGCGGTCTTAAATGTGCATGAATAAGTTGCTTGGGCTCTGGCTCCCATTGGATCGCGCTACCCTCATATCGCCATGTGCCTTGTAGATTAGAGCCTGGATCAAAGGATCGGAGTGGGGCCCCCTAAGACAACCCTTTACTTCGACCTGGGCAACCGGGTATTATCACACCCACTGACAAATCATGGATGGATTACACTATTACTTTTACTCTTGCTATGTTTACTGGCCATACTGTCTCCGTTGCTCAAAAACCGTTCACAGATCGTCCTACGTCCCGTTCCCAAACTGCACCTATGTCTTCCCCGATCACCGTCAACAACAGCTCATTGGTCACATCTGACAGAGATCTGAGCCAAATTGTTGGTGTTCGTTGTCCGGTGGTCACAAGGTTCTCACATTCCACCGAAGCCCAAGCTTTCCTTCTACCTGGTACTTCATTCCGCTTTGCAGCGTTCAATATGCGCACTCTGATGCAGACCGGACGGCAAGCATACCTGGCCCACACCCTCGGTGGACATCTGTTGTCTTTCATAAACCAGTTTGTAAGACACCAGTACCGTCATCACAACGACCTCTCCGGCAAACCCTGACGTCAAAGACCAGTTGCGCCTTTCCGGAGACCCAGAGGCCGCCGCTTCTGATCAAGCTAGTGTTGGGGTTGCGCTGTACTTTTGACAAAGCTGATGCCGCTTTGTTTGACTGGACCCCAGTCAACAGTCGGCTATGTGCAGTCAGACTATGAGGTTCATGTGTGTTAAGTAAGTGTCGAGATGTTACGCGTGCTTTGTTTGTCATCTCTATCTACACTCCTACAGACTGCAGCCCGGAGGCGGCTTTTACAAACAACTACATGACCTTCTACGTTCCTCCAAATAGTCCGACATTGTCATTCTTGCCGGGGATTTTAAGGCACGAGCGGGACGCCTGCCACCAAGCAAACACCACCTTGACGATAGTTTTGGTCTCGGTAGCAGTCGATCAGACAATGGAGTCAGACTATTGACTCTTTGTGCTGATCATAGATTGTTTCTTACGAGCACCAGTCTTCGGCATTCGAAAAGACAGACTGCTACACAAGAGTGGTTCCAGCTTGACCACAAAGCAATAAGCTACAGATGGCGCGGAAGCATAACAGACTGCCGATCGAACTGGTCAACCTGTCTGGACTCTGATCATGCATTGGCTCACGCCAAGATCTGCATGCCTTTCGGAGGATCACCCAGACGTACGCACTACCGCCCGAACGTCTAAAATCTGCAACATCCTGCGAAGTTAACCAAGTACCACGCTTCTCTGTCAACACTGCTTGCTTCATCCTCTGATGATGGTCTGAATTTGCAATGGATAT